GGCCACCGAAGCTGAGCTAAATCCCCGGCCCAAGTGATTTTTTAAAGTGTCGCGAGCCGGCGACGCAGAGCACTGTCCAGCAGTGTCTCAAACCTGAAAGAGCAGCGGGGTGGAGATGGGGCAGAGAGAAAGGAAGGACGCCAAGACAAGAGTCTGATCAAGGCGGCGTTTATTGCCGGCAAGCACCGGCCTTTTAAAGCAAAAAAAAAAAAACCACAAACTATTATGGGATGGGTTTACCATAGTAACTGAAAGGTCACACAGGAAAAGAGCAAGCAGGTTCACCAAAACAACCCACCGTGAGTAGTAGTAACCTGGACAACCACACATCTAAAGGTCAGAGACAAGAAACTGTAACTTTTAGGAATTCCACAAAGGAAACACTCTACCTGCTAAACTGGAGAAACTTAACACATATGGAGTTACTAGAGTTAACAATACTTACAACCAATACTCATGATCCCCACATTAAAGTACATTTTAAAGTCTCAGCTTCACTAGTTTCAATACTGGTCTATTTGGATTTGGATTGATCTTGTTTTTCTAGGATATTGGATGCTTCATTAGGTTATTTATTTGGAATCATTTTGTTTTTCTAATGTGGGCATTCACATATACTAACTTCCCCTCTTAGGATTGCTTTTGTTGTGTTTCATGGATTCTGTTTTGTTGTACAGCCATGATTGATTCTAGGAAATGTTAAATTTTTTACTTCATTGCTTTGGTGACTCAATGATTATTTGAATATAGCATTTAATCTCTGTGTAATTACATAATTTGTGATATGAGTGTGATTTGATAATATTCATGAGATTATTTTCATTTATTGAAGCATGCTTTATGGAGTGAAATCTAGTCTGTTTCGGTAGAAGTTCTGTGTGCTGCTGAGGAAAATGTGTATTCCCTTGTTTTTGGGTGGTATGCTCTACAGATATCTAGTAAGTCTATTTGTTGAAGACATAGTTCAATATTAACATTTACTTGTAGTTTTTTTGTCTAGTTGACCTGTCACAGAAGCTATCACATTTCTCCGCTATGGTTGTTTTGTTTATTTGGTATTTTGTGCCCAGTAATACTTGTCATATGAGTTTGAGTATGCTAGCATTCATTGCATATATATTTATAATTGTTCTCTTTCTGTTCCACTACTCCTTTTACCATGTAATGGCCTTCTGTTTGTCTTCTGGTCATTTTTGGCTTGAAGTTCACTTTGTATGAAAATAGAACAGAGGTGTCTTCTTTCTTTGGGACTCCTGTTGCATGGAATTTCACTTTCTATTCTTTGATTTTTCAGTCTGTGTGTTTCTTTATGAACTAAGAATGTCTCTTGTATGCAACATACAACTGGGTTTTGTTTTTTGATCCAGTCTGCTAATCTGTGTCCTTTTTTTTTTGGTTTTGGGGATTGAACTCGGGTCCTTGTGCTTGCAAGGCAGGCCACCGAACTGCTGAGCTAAATCCCCGGCCCTGTGTCTTTTTATTGGAGAGTAAACTATTTACATTGACAGTTAATGCCAAAAAGTAATTCTTGGAATTGCCTTATTTTCCTGTTGCCGATTTGTTTATTTTTCCCTTTTATTTAATTTCTCACCCTATTAGCTTTCCCTTTTTTAGTTATTTGCTGTTGTTGGCCTTGTTTTCTCTGTCTAGGATTTCTCCGTGTACTTCTTTTGTAGTGTTGATTTGGTGGATATGAATTTCTTGAGATGCTCTTTGTCATGGAAAGTCCTTATTTCTTCACCAACTTTGAAAGATGTTCTTTTTCAAAATAAATCAATATGTGTTGAAAGTTATTTTCTTTTAGGGCTTAAAAAACTTCATTTCAAGCTCTCTTGGCCTTTAAGGATTGCACTGCCAAATCTGCAATTACAATAGACTTACTTAGTATGTCATTTGTTCCTTTTCTCTAGCAGCTTCTAAGATTCTGTGTCTGTGTTGGACTCCTAGGGTTTTAACTATGATGTGTCTTGTAGAGCTTCTTTTCTAATCATGGCTGTTTCAGGTTCTATGTGTTTCCCTTACCTGAAAGTTGAATTCTTTCCTAAATGTGGAAACTGTTCTGTTAAGCTTTCAGTAAATAGTTTTTTATACCATTTGTGCTGTCTTATAATTTTTCTCTAACTCATATAATTCTTAGGTTAGTTTTCCTTGAATCATCTAGCAGTTGGTGGCTCTAGTTTTCGTCGTCTCTTGTTTTTGAGGATCTCTGTGTGTATGTTCTGCAATATCAAGCTTATCTTCTAGTTCTAACATTCTCCTTATCCTTATCATTTCCACTGCCCATACTTTCAGTAAATTTTTTTGTATCCTTTGTTTCTGTCTGCCATATTTTCATGTTGTTTTCTAAAATAATCATTCACGTCTTAAATCAGCTAGGTTAATTCATCCATATTGTTGTTTGTATCTTCTTTAAGCTTGCTGATCATTTTATCAATTACGTATCTTAGTTACATCGTCATCTTACTGATCTTTTTGTTTCTTCTCTTATCCCTTCCTGTATTTTAGCCATTTGGTGTTTTACTTCTTTGCTATCAGTGCTCATGGAATTAGTTTTTTTGAATGTTAAGAATTTTTATAGCCATCTTGTTGCTTTGTTTTCTCATGTTGTTATTACTTGTTTGACAAGCAGTGGAAAAACTGTTTGTTATGGTGATCCCTTCAGTCAGTGTGTGCTTCCCAGTGATGTGGTCTTGGCTTTGGATATATTTTGCTGTTTATATATGTCTTCAACCCACTCAGTGTAACAACGTCAGACCCCATATGCTGTGTTGCAAGGAGAGAACCATTATCATTTACATCACTAAAACTTGTTTTAATGATTTCTCCCTTTCTTTATGACCCATAACGACTGTGATATATTACTACGGAAAGGAGGCCTAGGATGTGCAGGAAAAAGGAACAGGGAAAGTAGTATATTGCAAATGAGAAGTGGAGTGAAAAGAGGTAACAGATGATAAAAAGAAAAGTAATCAAACTTTGTTGATATTATTTTTATACCTAGAGCGGAGGGCCGGTGGAAAGAAGATCTGAGAGAATATTTATGGGAACTGCAGAAGGGACACAGAGAAAGAAGTGTGGTTGAGATGAAGGGAAGCTGTGTGGTCAGGGTCTGCTAATGTGCCAGCAGTAAGTTTGTTTGTGAACTCTCTGCACAGTTTCACGCGGGTTAACCTGACTTGCCCAAGAGAGCTGCTGTTTAAAGCACTGGTTAATTCTTACTTTCCTTTTCAGATAGAAAGACACCTGCCATATATATCCTAAATGAAAGGAGAAAAGGCAAAGAAAGAAGAAAAAAAGAGAAGTAAAAATAGCCCCCAAACCTCTACCCAGTTAGAAAAACACAGTATTAAAGCATTCTCTCAGTGCTATTTATACTGCAGCCTGAATTCAAGCAGTGAATGTTTTGTAGGTGGATCTGGATGAACTTCTGGGTCTTCTTTTTCCTGTGCTTCTGCCCTCCGCAGAATGTCACTGTATTCCAGAACATGCCATTTCTCCTGACCCTTCTCAGTCTGCAGTCTGCTCCTGCTGTCACAGAGCCCATCCTCTCCTGTTATTTGTTCAACTGATCCCAGTGAGTGAAGGCACCTGGGCATCCAGATGGACCTCTGAGCCTGCCTCCTACTATAGGCTGCTCTCTTGCTAGTTTTAGTTTTGCTTCTGTGGGCACAGCTAGAGCCTTTGTCTTATGGTCAGACGCTTTAAATTGAGTCTGAAGTGGGCAGGGAGCAGTGTGCTTGGGCCAGTGCAGTCTGTCACTGATTCCTGAAGGGGCTGTGTTGGTCTCCACTCCCTTCCCTCTTGGAGAATCCTCTCCACTCCGTGCTCACTTTCTGTAAGGCTATCACACTCTCTGGTTACATTGGGTCTCTCCTGCTGGCCTGGGTCTTACTCTGCACCTCATATAGCATCGTTTGCCCACCTGTGTGCACTGTGGTGCCTAGGGCTTGAGGTCCTATGGTTGAGGACAGAAGTTCTACCTGACTGGTGCCAAACGGTGGGAAATGGGAAGGATATCATGGAGAGACAGCACTCCCAAGCGTTCAGTGGGCAAGTGCATTGTCTGGTGCTGCTCACCTCCCGTTGTACTTTATGTCTCACTGTTGCCTCACAAGGCTCCCTGTGGCACGGCTCTGCCCATAGCTGGCTCTGGGTGCACAGTAGTACTCTTCCCTCAGGAAAGCCGTCAAGCTCAGTCTTTCTTTTCTATGTGGTTCTCTCTCTCTCGGGTTTGTTATTTTTTATTTATTTATTTTTTGTGTATGTGTGCCCTCATTTGTGAATTCTTGGTGGGTTCTCTCTCTCTCGGAGTGGGGAGGGAGAATAGGTTAGGAGCCTATCCCAGGGGTACGGCCACTGCTCTAGCTCTGGCTTTTTTTTTCAGGATGTTAGATCCCTTCCTCACATGGCCTGTTTGGTAGGCCTGGGGTGAGAAGAATGCTGTTGTCTAGAACCATCTGTGCTTCGCTTCCTAACCCCTCCAGTACCGGACTTACGTAGTGGATCTCTCTTTCCGGTTGTTTCTCTCTAGCTGGTTTTGTTTGTCTCTCCTGTTTCTGAGTACCCACACTTCCCAGTAAATTTCTGCCAAGCTTCTTTTGTGCACTGTGCCTGTTGTTGGGCGTGATGGACTTGTCAGCTTTGTTTACAGTCACCAAAGGTTGGAAGCCAACAAGATGTCTTTGAGGAGTGGATAGATAAATAAGTTGGCAAACCAAGAGAATGGAGTTATGTTCAGCAGTAAAAATAATGAGCTGTCAATCCTTGAAAAGACAAGGAGGAATTCTAAATGAGTATTACTAAATCATATAGCCAACTTTAAAGGGCTACTGACTAAATAATTACAACTCTGACATTCTTGAAAAAAATAAACTTTGGATGTAATAAAAAAAGATCATTCGTTTTTAGGTGTTTGGAGGGTAGAGGAACCAGTAAGTGAAGTACAAGTGATTTTCAGGACAGTGAAAATATGCTGTTTGACGCTGATGATGAAAATCAGACATTCTATATTTGTCGAAGTTGAAAGAATGCAGAACACCAAGAGTGAACTCTAATGTGGTTACCCATTGAGTAATTACGATATCTCGGGATAGGTCCATCATTTGTAGCAATTGCACAAATAGGATGTTGGTAATGAGAAAGGCTGTGTGTGCGTTAAGGCACGACATAGATTGGACATCTCCATACCTTCCTCTTAATTTTACAGTGAACTTAAAGCTCAAAAATTATAGCCTATAAAATGACTGTGTTTTATCCTGAAACTCACTATTCCTGAAAATAGTGTATTTGTCCTGGATGTTTGTTCTAAGCTGCTCAAAGAAATGTGTGTGTAGAGAAACATGGATTCCAGTGCAGTTTATTTTTGAGTTTGATATTAAGGATGTCATTTGTGCTCTTCCATAGTCATTTCAGGAATGTAGCAAAATATGTTGTATCTGCTCATCTCCAAGCTTCTTTCTAGTTCCTAAGCATTAATAATGCTTAACATGCCAGTAACACTTTCTTTTCTGTTAGAGGCAGTATTATGTGATATAAAAAAGTCACTGGGCGTAACTAGTACAGTCCATGGCGATTGCATTACCACCTCATGACACAATTTGCTGCTTGTGTTACTGTCAAGTTTCCTTTTAAACACAATTTCAAAGTTGAGTTCTAATCAGTCATCAGTCTTGTTAATTTTACACCGTAATATTACAATTACAAGGTACTAAAAGAGGAATTAAAGTGACTGAAGGACTTTATCTGAAGGACTTTTCTGGGAAATAGATTACCGTATTTTTTTACTCGTACCCAGGACAGTTGTAATGTGTGAGGTGGGATTATGACCTTGTCATTGTTATCTTTGTACATTAACTTGGTGTAAGGAGTTGGGTATGGGCACCAAGGTGACAAGCACCGGACTGATGGTGGTTGATTCTGCATGTCAATCTGATTTGATTAAGAGGTGCTCAGTTTTAAAGCATCATTTATTCTCAGTAGACCCTGAGCCCATTCTGCTGCTGCTGAAAGGGAAACCAGGTAGTTTGGGGTTTGATTACAATGACTAGGATGCCCCAAGTGTGTTTGTGACTTTATTTAAAAAGAAGATTATCGTGTCGGTGGGAACATTAAGTGGGGAAAGCTACCCTTAATATTTCTGGGCACCATTTAATCACGTAAAGGGCTGGATTTAATAAGGCCGAGGAACGGTAGACGCTCCCTCTTTTGGGGCCTGGGCCACATTCTGCTCCCACCTGTGGATGTCGGAACTCCAGGTTCTCTGGTGTTTGGATTCAAACCAGTAGCTTTCCCCACTCCCCGGCTGGGCTCTCTAGCCTTTGTTCTTGGGCGGAGAAGTACATCACTGGCTTTTCTGACTCTTCAGCTTATTGACGGCCTGCTGTGGTACTGCTCATCCAACACAGTCAGTGAGCCAGTTCCTCTCACACATCCTGTCTTCTGTATCGTCATACATCTTTCCAGTCGCATCCGTCGGGAAAACCCTAAACAGTGCAAATGAGTGTTGGTTGATATCACTTGATAGCCATCTCCTCAGTCCCCTTTCCAGTCACCAGTTTCTTTTTAGGGATCTAGTGGAGAAGCCTAAAACTCAGATCGGGTCAGAGATTTTCATTTCATTGGCCACACACACTTTCTTCCTAGGTGGCTCTTACATTCCCATGTCATATAGAATGTTCTAAAAAGTGTAAAATGTAATTTGCCGCTAGCTCAGGAGGAAGAGATGATCTTTTTTTCTGCTAGGCGTGAATGAGGAAAACATGTATCTCTAGGTATCATTTGGGGAGTATAAGTCAGTTTTTGGAAAATGTAAACATCTCAAAAGGCGGAATGAGACATGGGAAACACTGACATAATTTTATTTAACACATGTCTGTAAAACTCTTGGGTCACTGTCGAATCTAGACTTTCTTAGTGAAGTTCCCTTATCTTTGAAGCCAAGGGGAGAGTTTCTTTTATTTGTGAACAATAGCATTTAACAAATGTTGAGTGCTCTAAATGTGCCAACTAAGAGAAGTTTATGTATTTAATTGAAGTTATAGGGTACAAGTAACTGTAAAATGGAACAGAACTAGTAGAGAGCCCCCAAACCCTGGAAAGAATCTAAAATTTGTTACAAAGTGGTAAGGTAGTGAAAAATGCATGAACCTTGTGGTAGGGTAAACTTATTTTTAAATTGATTCATTGACTTAACATTCATATTAGCAAGGACTTACTGATCATTTTCGCTGTGCTGAGTGCATTAAGATCATTACCTATGTAATCCTCTTAGTGTCTCTATTAAGGATACTGTTTTAAAGTTACATTTTACAGGAGAAGATTCTGAGGATTAGAAAACCTAAACCAAGATGTGCAGCGTTGGTACATGGCACAAGTCGTTTTTACACCTAAGTTGTACTCTCCAGTGTCTTTTACAATTTTGAAAAAAGGAGCGAGCTCTAAAAAGTTGGAAGATTTCATGTAAAATCCAGACTTGCATCTTCTCTTGAAAAAATGAAGTCGTCCACCTCTGGTCCGATCCCCGTGGGAACTGTGACCCAGAGGGTTACGGCTGCTCCATTCACCACCCACTCTGTGCCTTCCACAATTTGACCTCTTTATGTTTTGTTGCCCGTATTTCCGGACTCTCTTGGTAACTGCTGATCATTTATTTTACATTGTTGCTTTTCTCATGGTAGAAAAATGTCTATTTGTATGTGGGAAAAAGAGGTATTGATTTAGAGACTTGAACATTTTAAGAAAAGGACAGAATGTACTCAGTCATAGAGAAAAGGACTTTTCTGCTGGTTTAATATGCAAGTATTACATCTAATTCATTGCTTATTTTAATTGATTGGCTTTTGTGAGCACTTAAATTGTGGATCTATATTACACTTCATTCTTTTGTTCTGAAGTGTAGTTTTGGCAAACTTACTTCAGTTTCCTAAGACTCTTTTTCTTAATTTTTTTCCTATATTTTATTATGATTAGCAAGCATAGGTAAAAGTTGGATAATTTTATAGTGAAAACTCATATACCTGTGACTTAGGTTCATTTCCTAGATTTATCAAATTCCTTTATTAATACATGTTTGCAGTGCATAATGATTACATTTATCTTGGGGAGTTGGTACATCTACATAAAACATGTGAAGTAGGATTTCTTTTCCCTAACCTTTCCATCTGTCCCACGTCCATCCAACTCTTGGTCCTTTCCCATTTGCAAAAGCTCTGCTTCCATTTTTTGCCTTCAATTCTTTTTTTCCCCCATCTCCTTCCTTTCCCCTCCCACTCCTCTTCCTTCATCTTTTTCTTAAGATTTTGTTGTAGGATTAAG